CATATGGGACTTGATTGAGCCCTTGAAAACCTCAACTTCCTTGCAGGAACCAAAACCCTAATTTGACTGGCTTAGGAGGGTGTTTGAACTGTGCAACCCTTGAGAGATTTTGAACCATTTGAAGATTGACCTTGATAAATCTTGAAGAATATGGGAGGGCAAATTTTGGGGTACAACACTATCCATTACACTTCCAAATGGCATCTATAAGCCCATTCCCGACAAGATTCTGTTACATCTCCAGATGGCATCTATAAGCCCATCCTCCTATCCATCATACCTCCAAATGGCATCTGTAAGCCCATTCCCGACGTCACATTGCTGATACTCTACTATGCGAGTGCAATTTTCTGGGCACTTTAGTGTTCAATCATCTTCCACCTTCGGATCATGAAAGGTGCGCAAGCCAATCTACATCCTCAGGTTTAAGAAGATTGAACAGGGGCAACTGTTGTACCCCAAAATTTGCCCTCCCATATTCTTCAAGGTTTGTCAAGGATCATCTTCAAATGGTTCAAGACTACTCAAGGGGTTGCACAGTCCAAATGCCTCATAAGCCAGTCAAAATTAGGGTTTTGTTTCTTTCAAGGAATTTGAGGTTTTCAAGGGTTCAATCAAGTCTCATATGCCCATATACATTCTCAAGCATCTACATGTCAAATTTCAAGACTCACAGTCCCAAGTTGCACAGTCAAAAGCTCCATTTGCTCTACAGTCAACTGCAGGGGTAAAATGGTCATTTTGCAGTCAAAAGTCATAATTTTTGGTCAACATCTTATTTTGAGCTCATAATCATCATTTGATCAAGTCTTGATCATGATTCCACAAGCATGGCTCAAAAATCATCAAGATGCAAAAAGTTACTATTTTTGGATAGTAGAAAAGTCAACTGTATCTTGACCAAGGCATAACTTTTTCATGGTTCATCATAAAAATTCCATCCAATGCTCATTTTGAAGGGGATAACATTTCCTACAACTCATATTCACACTCCAAGTCCAAGAAATGCTCTCACAAAAAGTTATCAATTTCTACATTATAGGTCCTTTTCAAAAGTCAACAAAAAGGCACTTTAAGTCAAAGACCATAACTTGAGATTGGTAGATCCAAATTACATGGTTCCAAAAGCATTGGTTAGAGGACTTCAATACCTTTCCAAAATGTCCAAGAACATGTTCATAGGATCAAAATTGAGCAAGATATGCATTGGAGAAGTTGGGAAATTTTTGTGAATTTGCAAAAGTCAACTTTGCTCAAAATACTTTGTTTTTGCTAATGGGCCTCAAATTCCTTCTTGAAACTTTATTCAAAGCTTATGCACGACCCATTGAGATTATTTGAATTTATTTTCTTATTTTTATTAATTAATTGGATTTTTAATTGATTTTAATTCATTTAATTAATTTAAATTGTAGGAAATTCAAAGATATGGTTTTTCAATCTTTTTTTGAAGCAAGAATGACCTAATCAAGCTGGCAAATTCGTGTGCAAATCAAGGATATCAAAATCTCCAAGTTTGGCAAGTTTTCTCAATCAAAAAGATGCAAAAAGATGTGATTGCAAATCAAATATTCAAACCATTATTTCATGGATCTTTGCCCAAGGATTTAACCTAATTCTCTTCCTCCATAAGTACACAAGTGAACCCTAATGCCATGGACGTGAAAATTGCGGCAGAAAATCCATAGCAACATTGAAAAAAATCAAAGAAACTTGAAAACTGTTTTCCTAGTTCCAGGCTAATTCAGAGCTTTTTATTAATTCTAACACATTGCAGGAGGTTCCCAGAATGATTTTCAATCAAAACCAAGCTCCATAGCCCAAAGAATCACCAAGAACAGCTTCACGGTTTGCTGATTATTTTGAAAATCGAATTGCTTATTTCATGCATCATTAACACGATTTATTGTTTGTTTTGCATTGTTTGAGTCCATAGGAAGCTAATGGTACATGTTAATTGGATTATGATGCACAGAATCAAGAATCACCATTGATGAATTCTAGGGTTCCTAAACCTTGAATTTGGGGATTCAGTAACCAGGCAAAATTGGGACCTCTAAGACCTATGATTGAAATCGTGGCATCAAGACGAATCAAACGCCATGCTCGCGAAATATTTATGTGCATCAGGGACCTATTCGCTATTATTCCTCACGTTAAATTGTGGGGGTTAAAAACCCCCGCTATCCATTTGTTTTTTGCAGGTGCGAATGAGGAAGAAAAAGGTGTGTAAGCGTATCATTGGTTGGTTTAAATAACGTGCGTTTTTATTCCAGCATAATTGTTGTTTTTACATATTATATTCCTTGTTCATTATAATAACAAAGGCGTTCAGTTGGCTCAGTGGATGGTGCGTTGGCTGTTGATCATTGGGACCTGGGTTCGATTCCCAGGTCCACCCAAAACTCTATAATATTTTTCATAACATGTTCTCATGCAGGCTTTACAAAGCATTCCACCATGCACTTCAATCATCCAAACGCCATGTGTCTACATGCACAAATCCAATGGTCAAAAGATGAAGATCATGATGCTTCCCAGTCAAGTACACCATGGACAATTCAAAAAGTCAGAAGGGCTTGAGCTTAATGAGCCACCAATTTCCAGAACAAACCTCCATCTGGGCCCAACACCCCCTGGTTTATTATTTCTTTTTATTTTCCCTTTCTTTTATTTTCTTTTAATTATACTTATTATCATTATTATTATTAACTAACAAATAATTATTTTCATAATTAAATCAGAAAAATGTAAATATTTTTATTATTATTTATTAATTTCACCTTGTTATTTTTGTAAATAAAATTTAATTAATTAATTTAGTCCTTTTTTAATTAGGTCAACTTTAAATTTTTCTCAATAATTTAAAATAAATTTAGAATTAGGGTTTTCTTGACAATTTTAATTTCTTTTATTTTATTTTCATTAAAGACCTTAAAAACTTAAAAAATACTTTTTTTTGTAATTATTTAATTAGTTTTAGTTTTAATATTAATTAAATACAAAAAGGACTAAAATTCCATTCTTTTCTCAAAGAGGGTCAAAACCCTAAGGACTTTCCCGATTCAATTTCTCACGCACATATTTATTTTTTTGATCATATTTATGTATCTGCTCCGAGAATGTAATAGATAATTAGGACTTTTATCGCTTTCTTTATTTTCTCGCATTTACTTTTCAAAGGTTATGTTTTTGGCGATGTAAATACCCGACGCCTTGTAATAGCGTAGATTTACTTTCCGCAATTTACTTTCCGCACAATTATTAACTGTTAACTATGCATGACAAGACTTGCCTGAAAATAAAATCAACCCATAGCTCACCATAGTACATGTGCAAAGAAAATATGAATTGAACTTGACACACATGCACATACCACTCCTAGGGTACGCCTCACTTGGTTGCCTCGACGTGGTCATTGAGTATAGGGTGTTTTAGAGGTCGCCCTCCTGTCTAAAGATCCAAGTTGCCTCGAAACAGTTTCCTCGATAAAAAACGATCTAAGACATTAGGGTTACCGCTAAGGCGTCTTACTATTGCTTTGGTGACCACACATGTCCCTATAATAGAATTGACCCGAAACTCCAATGAAGGTGCTACCTACTTCTCAATAGTGGGATAGCATTGTCTAAAGGACATTTACACAGCTTAATTCCTTAGAGTAGGTAGATTTCTCCTGGGTACTTGCTCTTTCAAAACAAAAAAACAACTTTTCGCATCTATACTTTCAAAAAGTTTTCAAACAAATACTTCATACACTCTTGGGGACTGATACAAGAGTTACCTAGAAGTTTTCAAACTAAACTTTTTCAAAACCCACAAACACAAGAAAAGCAAACATTTTTTAAAACATAGTGAGCAAGTACCTAAGAGCCCGTGGATAACCACGGATAGAAAGGGTGCTAACACCTTCCCTTTCTATAATCTACCTCCCGAACCCGAGAAATATCTCGAAAAGGAATTTTGCTGTGCTTTTGTCCTTTCCTTGTTGGAGAAAATAAAAGACGGTGGCGACTCTTGCTTACCGCGACATTTCGCGAACCAGCATTTCAAAAACAGTCAGTTCTATTTCCACCGATCACAGTAAGAAAACACAATAATGAAAAAAAATGCTCCCTACGGGTCTCGAACTCAGGTCCTCACACTTACAATTCTCACGCCCTAGCCACTACACCATGTTACTTATTCATGATTTCTACACTTCAAATAATACAAAAAGATAAGTAATGATTAAATTGGGCTTACAACTTAAGCCCAACCCAAGATCTATTAGGGAAGACAAGGGGTTTTGTAAACCCTAATTTTGTCAAAAGAGGCATTGTACGTTGATGTATTGGGAAGAGGAAAAAGTTTGTCATTAATTTTAATTAATCTTGTTAATTCCCAACTAACAACCCAATTAAAAAAAACAAATAAACCTAAAAAAAATCTCTAACACGCTTCTGAACACTCTTTTTGTCTCTCTCTCTCTCTCACCATCTCTAACACTTCTGCTTCACAACCTCCAAACGATTCCCTCTCTCACTTCGCCATTTCCCTCTCTTCCCTTGTTGCTTCTCATGATTTCTCCTTCTCTTTTTCTGATTACGAACAAAATAACAACAATAATCACAAACCTAAGCCCTAAATCAACCCATCTCCAACGAAATTGAAACAGAAAAATCAAAGAGTTACATGAAAAAAACCCTAAATTTGGGTAAGCTGCTTCTTTATTCCGCTTCTGAACTTCTTCTACTTCTTTACGCTTTATTGATTTCGAAATCTCTTTTCACTTCTCTGTGTTTGTATGCTCTGTATCGGGTTCTGCGTTTGTCGATGCTGAGAAATTATTCAGCATCGACAAGTTGGTGAGATTAATGTGCGATGAAGATGAAGTTGCAACGTTGATGCGGTTGTTATAGGGAAATTGATGATGGAGCTGATGAAGAATAGAGTGGTTTTCAGAGATTTGAAGTTTTTTCAGTGATTTTCCTTGGTGATTCTTCTCAAGTGAGTGAAGAATGAAGATTGAAAGAGGTGAGTTTCTAATCTCTTTTTTCTGAGTTTTTTATTCTGAATCGTGAATGATGAGAGGGAGAGTTTTATCTGTGAATTTTTCTTTTGCTCTGAGATTTTTTTTCGTCCCCTTTTCTATGTGTATAAAGCATGTTATATATAATGGAAATGAGTGAGCAATGGAGGGAAAATATAAGCTTGATTTTGAATGTAAAAATGGATTTAATGCCAAACTGTTTTATTACTTTGTTGGTGCAGATTTTTGTTTTGCTGAAATTGTGCAATTTCTAGACTGATGTTTGCAGCAGGTTGATGCAGGTTATGGACTGCTTTGTGAAGGTTTTGTAGGGTTTAAAGTAGGTTGGGCAAAGGCATTTTGGGCTGGCTGTTTACGTAGAAGGTCTTTGATGCAGGTTTGAGAGCAGGTTTGAGAGCAGGTTTTGGATTGACATAGGAGGCTGTTTTTTGTACAAGTTTTGACAGTTTTTTGTGTTGGTTGGACAAAAGCTTGGTCTTGGGCTGTTTGTGGTGCAGGGCAGCAGCAGTTTTGGATTGTTGTATGGCAGCAAGGTCATGGTTTTAGGGTAGCAGCTTTCAGGGTGACAGTAGCTTGGAATGAAGCAAAATTTTGGATATTGGTAGCTTTAGGATTTAGGTTTAGAAACAATATTTTTGTTGCAAAGTTTTCTCTTTTATCAAATGCCCAGGATATGAAGACAACATGAATTGCAATTGATGCTTGTAAACTTTGAATGAATGAAATTGCTTACAACTTAATTGCACATTTGAATAATTAAACTTGTTAGATCCTTGCTTGTAATTTTTTTAGCTAGGCTTGAAGTGGCATAGCGAAATATAGGTTTAGAACTTAGGAATTTTTATGTAACTTTGAAAGTATTTTGAATTTGAAACTCAAAAGTATTGTATCATGATAAATTCATTCAAAGTTTCATTTGAACTCTATGTAATTCTTCTTTTTGAAGCTTGAATGCACTTGAACAAATTTCCTTGGTGACCTCATGACAATTAGGAACTTAAATTGATTCTTGAGTTTAAAATGATGGTAAATTGAATGATACATGAATGAAGTTTGATCTTGAGAATGGACAGTTCAATAATGATACATGAATGATGAATGTATTTGAAACTTTCAATCAATTCGACCCTAATGCCATTTTCAAAGTGAACCTTCAAATCATTTATAATGAGACCCTAACCCAAATATTCAATTCATGGTAACTTGCAATACAAGCCAATAGTACTTGAAAGAACAATGATGCCTTAATAACTTTGGTCTAAAATCCACTTTCATCCAATAATCACCAAATGCTCAGACATAAGTAACTTGAAAAAGAAACAAATGTTCAAAGAATTCTCGAACTCGACTTCTTGTACCATGAACAATCCTAACATAAGAATCAATGTCTCAAGAAAACAATTATGGCACGACTTGAAGTTAGAAGTTAAGAACATTTTAAATCAAGAAAATAACCTATAATGTTTCGATAAGTTCCATATCCCTCAAAGCATAATTTGATTTTGATCCTTGAAGAAAAATTATAGATGGAATTCCTTATGACAATGTGCCAAAATAATAGTCTCAAGATATTGAAAATTAAGGAAATTATGATTCTTGGAAGTCAGATAACATTTACTTGAGATTAGGTCAAAGTCTAGAAGGTGTCCTCTAAAGTATTCAAACTTTTGGTGATCTTACACACATAATTAGCCCTTGACTTTTAAAGTTAAGTTGGAGATGACGTCAAGGAGAGTCATATGCAAAAAGAGACACTCAAAAATATTGAATAATGAAAAAGTTGTGATCGTTTGAACTTGGACTTGCAAACGTTGACTTTTTACCCAATACAGTTGATTTTCAATCGTCTGAACCATTGAATGAGAAAACTTGTGATGCAAGGCTTGAAACTTGACATGAGAATCCTTGAGGACATATGAAGAACCACGAAAACTACTTGAAACCTTGGAAACTCAATCTTTTTTGAGAAATACAAAACCCAAGTTGTGGACCCATTGCTTAGGAGGAGAATTTATTTGATCAATTCTTGAGCATTTGAGAACCCTAGGAGAATATCTTGAATGAAAAATGGGAGGAAACATTTTGGGCTACAACACAAGGCATGTGGGCTTTTATTTTGGATCATTTTGAAGCCCAAGATCACATATCCAACATAACAAAACCGTGAGGGATGAAGAAGGAAAGAGATCTTCAAGTTTTGGAAAGTTTTGCAATTGTTTTGGAAACAAATAATGACTTTGAATGCACATGTTTCCTTCCAAGAATGTTAACTTAAAAAATCCTCCATTATAAATAGAGAACACACTCCATAAGACAGGGACACGAATTAGGTGCCATAGAAACAAGTTCTCAAAAACAAAATTTTCAAAGAATAGGTGCAAATCGTATCCCAGTTTTCCAGCCAATCTCAACTGAAACGAAGCCTCGAGTCATCATCCTGACATCCCCAGAAACCTCCTCATGTCCATAACCATACTCAACTGTGCCTAGAACGCCTCCCATCAATCACACCAGTGGTAAGGATTTTCTAATTTCAAATTTCTTAATCCTTGTATTATTAATAAGTTTCATATGTCCAGATGTGTTAAGCAAAAAACATAGAACATGTTGGAACCAAGCGTGTGAATAGAAGGGAGGAGGTTCTAACCCCAGCGATGCTAAAATCCTTTTTGCTTTACTTTCTTCATTTCCCATTTATTTTTATTAGTTATTTTATTATTAATTAACTTTTTTTTAATCAAAACTTATACATAAAAAAAATTAGAAAGAAGCTATATAATAAAATCAACAAAAAATTAGTTTTAGGGTGTAAACTAATTAATTGATTTTTTTGGACAATTATATTTTAGGATTTTTATTAATTAAAATAAATTAGAATTAGGATTTTAATTATTATTAATTAACACTTGAATTATTTTCATAGAAACACCAAAAATATGAATTTAGATTTTTAGGGCATTTAAACTTTTTTTCCAACATTTTCTTATTCTTTTTGCTATTTATTTTCTTAGACAATTGTATAGGTCGCACAGTTTAATGTAATAGTTTAGATTTACATTCCCACATTTTTCTAATCATGTAACTCTCCCAAAGCCCTGTAATAGCGTAGATTTACATTCTCGCTTTATCTTTTGCCTTTATATGTTTGTATATGTATAACTTCTAGTGAATAGGCTTGTATGATAAGAATAAAATCAAACATAGATAACCTTAATTTTCAAGATAAAATAACTGAAACCAATACACTTTGCACACTTCACCTCTAGGGTAACCTCTCTTCGCTGCCTTGCGATAATAATGGCCACGTCCCATGAAAACGAAAATACTTTAGCAAAGACCCTCAGTTAAACAATATCATCATGGTCCTTTTCGAATAAATATCATAATCCCCTGATGTCCCTTCGAGTTGCCTACAAAATTATCTAGTCCCTTCGATGAACCTACGAGAAAAATGATGATAGTCCCTTTTAATTGCTAAAGTATCCTTACAAGTTGCTTTCTATGATCATACGATGACCCTTCACATGTCCCTTCACATCCAATAGATAGGGCTACCTATCAATTCATGGTACGGATAACACTATCTCTAAAAGGAGAAGGAAAATAATAAGAACGATCTTTAGTTGGTAAGGAGATTTTAATCGCTTGCTCACAACCTTTTTCACAAACAAAACATTTTTACACATCACACTTTTCAAAAAAAATATTTTCAAACACTTTGCACGTATTCTTGAGGACTGATACAAGAATCATTACAAAGTTAGCTTTTCAAAAATATTTTCAAATCACACACACAAAGCAATATTTTCAAAATTGAGCTAGCAATTTAGAGGCCATAGATAACTACAGGTGAAAAGGGTGTTAACACATTCTCTTTTCATAACTTACCCCCCCGAACTTAAAATCTATCAAGGTCTTTCCTGTTCTTTTCAGCCTTTCCTTGTTGGATAAAAGAAAATTCGATGGCGACTCTTGCTATCCGCAACATTTGCAATAAAACACTAAATAAGTCAGTTCTCCCACCGTATTACAGAACTAGCGACTCTGTTGGGGACATAATTAAAAGAGGGGTTACCTTAACAGTTTAGATCACTTTACTTGCTTAAATCATGTGCTTTGTCTGCTTTAACTTTAAGGGCTTGATTGAGTTTATTATTTGAAAGGTCCTACACACGGATCTAGGGATGCCTTAGGTAAGTAGTAATAGATCATAAAGAATGTACGACATAGACCGATATGGTTAATATGATGGCTACAGTTAGTATGACACTCTGGTTTATACTAATGTTCCTTGAGTCAATCAAGGATAACATTAGGCTTTCGTGTGGTATCATTAACGCTAACTTACTTTTAGAACCTTAATTAACCCATCTTGGCTATTGGAAGGTAGTGAGATAGCCGGCTTTGGTTCATTCCAAAGTTGGTTGATACTCGAAGCTATGCTCATTGAGATTTGACTCTCGGGATGTTTTGGTGGCAAGCCAGTTGTTGTACTAAAATAAAGCTTGCAAGAAAGATCGGTGATATGAGATTCCTAGAACCCAGTTACTATTTCAGGACAGGTCGAGCCAACTTAACTTTAATGGGGAAGGGTATTTACCTATGGACTCTGTTGTACCCCAAAATTTGCCCTCTCATTTCTCAAAGAATCACCCTTGATCCTCAAGTTTGCTTCCATCCAATTCCAAGCCTTGAACTGCAATTTTTCAAGAAAGTCATTTGCAAGGGCAAAATGGCCATTTACACACTGAAAGGTCAAACTTTGACTTTTGGATCAACACCAAGTTTCAAGAATCATATTTCATCAAGACATGTTGGAATGTGAGTTTTGTTTTGTCAAGAAACTCAAAAGTCAAATTTACTTTGGAAAAGTCAAATTTCTAAATACTTGGAATTTTTTCTAAGTATTTAAGAAATATGACAAGTTCAGAACTTCTGATCAGATTATCACCATGATGCAAGCTAATTCTGGATCAACTTCTGACACAAGAGTTTTAGATCTCAACAAGATCTAAGACATTGCAGAATAAAACTTCTCCTAGAAATGCTGGGATTTCAAGTTATAAACTTCTCAAATACACGTCCATGAAACTGAAACACTTAGCAAATTCTTGACACTCTCAAGACAGAGTTTGGTCAGAACTTCTGGGCCAGTTTTCATAAAGGTTCAGTCAGAGCTTGCAAGAGCAGTTCAAAGAAGGGTTACAAAGCGTGTCACAAACTTCCTGGAAAGTCTGGGAACTCCTTCAGAACATGCTGGATCCATAAGATAAAAGGATCAGAAGATTGGATGTTGCGCTGAAGCTGAACTTCTGATCCAGAACTAAGCCATGGTGTAGAGCTTCACATGGCATGATTTCTGATTTGATAAGTCTCATCATCATTTAATGCTCATTTAATGCTCACAACCACTTTTGAGTCTTTATCCAAAGGATTTCCACCACGTATACCTCTACTGTCTTGGGATAGCAAACTTTGGTACTAGGCCCACACTTTGCTTTTTGCTTTTCCTTAATTCCTGCTGACAACCACCATGCTTGCTTCCAGAACAAGGCAACTCTTTAGCATATGAAGGCTATATTCAACGCTTTGGTCAGAACTTGACCAAATCCCAAAAACCTTGTTTATACAACTTGTTGTACCCCAATTTTTACCCCTAATATCCCTTCATCATACCACATTGTTTCA